TCGTTGGGTTTGTTGGTCTGTGGGGTTGGTCAGGGTATTGTGTGTTGGTCTGTGGGGTTGGTCATGGTATTGTGTGTTGGTCTGTGGGGTTGATCAGGGTATTGTGTGTTGGTCTGTGGGGTTGATCAGGGTATTGTGTGTTGGTCTGTGGGGTTGGTCAGGGTATTGTGTGTTGGTCTGTGGGGTTGGTCAGGGTATTGTGTGTTGGTCTGTGGGGTTGGTCAGGGTATTGTGTGTTGGTCTGTGGGTTGCACTCACCTAGTTGTGCTTGCGAGGATTGAACTTCGGCTGTTTGGTCCCGCCTCTTAACGGCCTATTGGGCTCTTTCATATCAACATTTGAAACTGTATGGAGTCAGCCTCCACCACATCACTTCCTAATGCATTCCATTTGTTAACCATTCTGACACTAATAAAGATCTTTCTAATGTTTCTATGGCACATTTGGTCACTCAATTTCCACATGTGTCCCTTAGTGCGAGTGCCTCTTATGTTAAATAAATTGTCTTTATTTACCCCATCAATTTCTCTGAAAATCCTGTATGTGGTGATCATGTCTTCCCTAAATCTTCTGTCTTCCAGTGACCTGAGGTTTATGTAGTTCCCGTAGTCTCTCCTCGTAGCTCATAACCCTCAGCTCGGGTACTAGTCTGGTGGCATACCTCTGAACCTTCACCAATTTAGTCATGCTTGACGAGATACGGACTCCATGCTGGAGCTGCATACTCCAGGATTGGTCTGACATATGTGGTATACAGGGTTCTGAAGGATTCCTTACACAAGTTTCTAAAGTTCGTTCTAATGTTGGCCAGCCTTGCATACGCCGCTGATGTTATATCCTCTTCATGTGGGCTTCAGGGGACAGGTCTGGTGAGATATCAACCCCAGGTCATTCTCTGAGTCTTGAAGATATTCATCTCACATTTGTGTGTTTACTAGTTGTGTTTTTGCGGGGGTTGAGCTTTGCTCTTTCGGCCCGCCTCTCAACTGTCAATCAACTGTTTACTAACTACTTTTTTTTTTTTTTTTCCCCACACCACACACACACACACACACACCCCCAGGAAGCAGCCCGTGACAGCTGACTAACTCCCAGGTACCTATTTACTGCTAGGTAACAGGGGCACTTAGGGTGACATTTTGTCACATTTGTGTGTCAGTCTGTGTTGGTGCTCCTCTACACGCTCCGATTTATTTCTCGTAATATACTTCGGTTGGTATAGTTTTTAGGTTCTCTTCACATCACAACAATGATCGAATTTAGTGCACCGTTTCGGTTAGAGTGGTGCTAAACGCTACATTAAAAAAAATCAGTGTGTAATGATCGATCGATATCCTGGAGCGCCCAGCATGTTAAACATGAATATAAGAGTTACTTTCTTAAAGCGATCATTTGTACGTAAGGTTATTCTTCTTAGTAATGATATATACAGGGTGTTGCAAAGTCTTGAACCATATACTATAATTTTATAACTACGGTATCTCCCATAATTCTAGAACTGTGTCCCAAGAGTTTTGAGTTATATACCATTGAGACCATTCCCCGAGCGACTATATCCAAAATTTGCTTACTGTAAGTAATGCATGCACATGACTGTAAAGCTGCCGCCCAGTTGGGTGGGTGTGGAGCACATGACTGTAAAGCTGCCGCCCAGTTGGGTGGGTGTGGAGCACATGACTGTAAAGCTGCCGCCCAGTTGGGTGGGTGTGGAGCACATGACTGTAAAGCTGCCGCCCAGTTGGGTGGGTGTGGAGCACATGACTGTAAAGCTGCCGCCCAGTTGGGTGGGTGTGGAGCACATGACTGTAAAGCTGCCGCCCAGTTGGGTGGGTGTGGAGCACATGACTGTAAAGCTGCCGCCCAGTTGGGTGGGTGTGGAGCAAGACTGTGCGACTCACCATAGATGTAAAGGCCTTGTATAGTGACTTGTGAGTCTCTTGCTGAATCACTTGTGACACAAAAGATTATTAATGTGTGTATTTGTGTGGGTGATTAAATATGTATGTGTATGTAAATATGTATACGTATGTATATGTACATGTATGTACGAGTATGTGTACATGTATATATAACATTAATAATTTTGTAACTAGCGTCAAAAGATTATTTGCTTAGCTAAACGAACTAGAGGGTTCAGTTCCTGAACCAATTATGTGCCTCTGTAACCCTTTACACCACCGCCCACGGGATGGGTATGGGGTGCATAATAAAGAAATTGAAATTGACTACACTGAAACCGTCGTCTGTAGTTGCAGTTTAATTTGTAGTGTTGCATAACATTATTTATGCAACGAAGATGTTCAGTGTGTCCACCATTACGGTCGATAAGAAAGATATTACCTTTAAAGAGGCGACTCCTAAACTCAACAAACAAGCTATCCCCCACTGACCGCTGCCACCTATCCTCTCAATACCTTGCATTTTAAACTGAATCGCCCAATGCCGTAATATTTAAGTTTCCCCATGCAATAGCATCCATCATAGGTAGCTTGTTTGGGCTCGCTCGTTTCAGGTTAGGCAAAACAGTTGCATTTTTTACGGAGTGGCCAATCGAGAGATCGGGCTGACCTCAGTGTTGAGTTTCATTTGATTTCTGAGACACGTTGTTTCAGCCTTATTTCAGCCTTATTTGGGGCTTTTGTTTGAAATCCTTTTTTTTCTTATTATTGCACTCATAAGCATGTGTTTTAAATGGTAGGGTAATTATTAGGAGAAAGCGTCAAGGCATTACGACTATATAGCACTTGGAAGGGGGGTCAGGATGAGGCTCTGGGATGGGACGAAGGGAAGGAATGGTGCCCAACCACCTGTACAGTCGGGGATTGAACACCGACCTGTAAAAAAGCGAAATCGTCGCTCTAGCGTCCAGCCCAAATTGTTAATGTGATTTTTTTTCCTTGTTTCGTCTCATTGATTTGTTGTGTTTTTATGAAGTGTTTCCTTTTCCGATTAACAGCGCTGGTTCGGGCTTGATGTGGTACGGCTCTGCTGACTTTCTTAATACTCTCCTCAGCGGCGAGTCAACTCACTTCCCTTGACATTGAGTCAACTCTACTCACTCTCCCTTCTCGGCAATTAGCCCCACATACAGCCCCCCCCTCCTCAATCCCCCACTCATCCAGCCCCTTTCCTCGATTCCTGGCCATCACCTCGACCCCATCCCCTTATAAAAACTCTCCACTGATCTTTATCCAGATGGAGGTCACTGAAGATTGCGTCTCCTTTCCTGGAAAGTAACCAAGTCCTGAACCAACAGGTCGTTTGTTTTGTGTCTTTGCCGTGTGCTCCCCCCCCCCTTTACTCCCCCTCCCCTCCCCACCATTACCCCCCTCCCCCAAAACCCCCCTTCCCTCCCTCCCCCCACCCCCAAACCCCCCTTCCCTCCCTCCCCCTTACCCTGGCCGCCCCTTCTCCTCATTCCACACATCACCTCCCCCTCCTCCTCATCCCTAAACATCACCTGCCACTCACCCCCACCAGCCCCCCTCTTCCTCCACCTCTCTTTGTGTTTAACTAAAAGACATTCCTCTAGCGTCGCTTCCACTATCATGTCGCTCTATCCTCGCTAGCCAGCCTATCCCTCTATGTATTTCATAAGACGATTTGTTTATCAATAAAATCCTTCATCCGGTTATTATGCTCAGTTTTTATCCGACATTTTTTGCCTTTTATTAGGGATTATAAGTCTGGTGAAGGTGGGCATTATTCTTATCTCTCTACGGTGGATGACAACCATTTGAGTATTTTGTGTTGTGTGATGGTAGTCCCGCGTGGTATTTGGCTCTTAGTGCATCTGTGTGTTTTCATATCTGTGTAAGTGTTGGTCCGGGTGTGTACTCACCTAGTTGTGCTTGCGGGGGTTGAGCTTTGGCTCTTTAGTCCCATCTCTCAAACGTCAATCAACTGATGTACAGATTCCTGAGCCTTCTGGGCTCTATCATATTTACATTTGAAACTGTGTATGGCGTCAGCCTCCACCACATCACTGTCTAATGTATTCCATTTACTAACTACTGTGACACTGAAAACGTTCTTTCCAATGTCTCTTTGGATCTTTTGGGTACTCAGCTTCCACCTGTGTCCCCATGTGCGTGTACCACCGGTGTTAAATGTGTGTGTGTGTACTCACCTAGTTGTACTCACCTAGTTGTGTTTGCGGGGGTTGAGCTCTGGCTCTTTGGTCCCGCCTCTCAACCGTCAATCAACAGGTGTACAGATTCCTGAGCCTATCGGGCTCTGTCATATCTACACTTGAAACTGTGTATGGAGTCAGCCTCCACCACATCACCCCCTAATGCATTCCATTTGTCAACCACTCTGACACTAAAAAAGTTCTTTCTAATATCTCTGTGGCTCATTTGTGCACTCAGTTTCCACCTGTGTCCCCTTGTGCGTGTTCCCCTTGTGTTAAATAGACTGTCTTTATCTACCCTATCAATCCCCTTCAGAATCTTGAATGTGGTGATCATGTCCCCCCTAACTCTTCTGTCTTCCAGCGAAGTGAGGTTTAATTCCCGTAGTCTCTCCTCGTAGCTCATACCTCTCAGCTCGGGTACTAGTCTGGTGGCAAACCTTTGAACCTTTTCCAGTTTAGTCTTATCCTTGACTAGATATGGACTCCATGCTGGGGCTGCATACTCCAGGATTGGCCTGACATATGTGGTATACAAAGTTCTGAATGATTCTTTACACAAGTTTCTGAATGCCGTTCGTATGTTGGCCAGCCTTGCATATGCCGCTGATGTTATCCGCTTGATATGTGCTGCAGGAGACAGGTCTGGCGTGATATCAACCCCCAAGTCTTTTTCCTTCTCTGACTCCTGAAGAATTTCCTCTCCCAGATGATACCTTGTATCTGGCCTCCTGCTCCCTACGCCTATCTTCATTACATTACATTTGGTTGGGTTAAACTCTAACAACCATTTGTTCGACCATTCCTTCAGCTTGTCTAGGTCTTCTTGAAGCCTCAAACAGTCCTTCTGTTTTAATCCTTCTCATAATTTTAGCATCGTCCGCGAACATTGAGAGAAATGATTAGATACCCTCCGGGAGATCATTTACATATATCAGAAACAAGATAGGACCGAGTACAGAGCCCTGTGGGACTCCACTGGTGACTTCACGCCAATCGGAGGTCTCACCCCTCACCGTAACTCTCTGCTTCCTATTGCTTAGATACTCCCTTATCCACTGGAGCACCTTACCAGCTACACCTGCCTGTCTCTCCAGCTTATGTACCAGCCTCTTATGCGGTACTGTGTCAAAGGCTTTCCGACAATCCAAGAAAATGCAGTCTGCCCAGCCCTCTCTTTCTTGCTTAATCTGTGTCACCTGATCGTAGAATTCTATCAAGCCTGTAAGGCAAGATTTACCCTCCCTGAACCCATGTTGGCGATTTGTCACGAAGTCCCTTCTCTCCAGATGTGTTACCAGGTTTTTTCTCACAATCTTCTCCATCACCTTGCATGGTATACAAGTCAAGGACACTGGCCTGTAGTTCAGTGCCTCTTGTCTGTCGCCCTTTTTGTATATTGGGACCACATTCGCCGTCTTCCATATTTCTGGTAGGTCTCCCGTCTCTAGTGACTTACTATACACTATGGAGAGTGGCAAGCAAAGTGCCTCTGCACACTTTCGGTACCCATGGTGAGATCCCATCTGGACCAACAGCCTTTCTAACATCCAGATCCAGCAGGTGTCTCTTGACCTCCTCTCTCGTAATTTCGAACTCCTCCAAGGCCGCCTGGTTTACCTCCCTTTCTCCTAGCACAGTGACCTCACCCTGTTCTATTGTGAAGAACTCCTGGAACCTCTTGTTGAGTTCCTCACACACCTCCCTGTCATTCTCTGTATACCTGTCCTCGCCTGTTCTAAGTTTCAATACCTGTTCTTTCACTGTTTTCCTTCTGATGTGACTGTGGAGTAGCTTTGGTTCGGTCTTGGCTTTGTTTGCTATATCATTTTCAAAATTTTTCTCTGCTTCTCTTCTCACCCTGACGTACTCATTCCTGGTTCTCTGGTATCTCTCTGCTTTCTGGTGTTCTGTTATTCCGGAAGTTCCTCCACGCCTTTTTGTTCAGTTTCTTCGCTTCCATACATGCCCTATTATACCATGGATTCTTCTGTTGCTTCTCGGATTTTTCCCTTTGGGCCGGGATGAACCTGTTTACTGCCTCCTGACACTTTTGGGTAACATAGTCCATCATACCCTGTACAGACTTGTCTCTGAGGTCTGTGTCCCAAGGTATTTCACTTAGGAAACTTCTCATCTGTTCATAATTACCCTTTCGTTATGCCAGCCTTTTGATTCCTAGTTCTTTTTGGGGGGAGATAAGTCCTAGCTCTAGCAGGTACTCAAAGTTCAATACACTGTGGTCACTCATTCCCAAGGGCGCTTCCATCTTAACTTCCCTTATATCCCATTCATTTAGTGTGTGTGTGTGTGTGTGTGTGTGTGTGTGTGTGTGTGTGTGTGTGTGTGTTAGGGTAGTATGTGTACCTGCAACAAGGTATGTACGCTTGCAGAATAAAAGGAGAAAGTATGAAAGGTATCGTGCGAGTGGTTGTGTCGCCACAGTGTACCTTCATCACAGAGTGTGAGGCTTTCCCGCGGACGCAAAATAAAAAAAGCCCTGGAAAACTCTTATTTTCATAGTGGTTGCTTTTTCACACACACACACACACACACACACACACACACACACACACACACACACACACACACACACACACACACACACACACACGTAACTGAACCTTACGACACTAGAGAAAAGAAGGGAGAGAGGAGATATGATAGGGACATATAAAATACTCAGGGGAATTGACAAAGTGGAAATAGATGAAATGTTCACACGTAATAATAACAGAACGAGGGGACATGGGTTGAAACTGGAAACTCAGATGAGTCAGAGATGTTAGGAAGTTTTCTTTTAGCGTGAGAGTAGTTAAAAAATGGAATGCACTTGGGGAACAGGTTGTGGAAGCAAATACTATTCATACTTTTAAAAATAGGTATGATAGGGAAATGGGACAGGAGTCATTGCTGTAAACAACCGATAGCTGGAAAGGCGGGATCCAAGAGTCAATGCTCGATCCTGCAAGCACAAATAGGTGAGCGCGCGCGCGCGCGCGCGCGCGCACACACACACACACACACACACACACACACACACACACACACACACACACACACACACACACACATTTATTTAACACGGGTGGTACACGCACTAGAAACCAATCCAGCTAGGATTTGGAATCCCCCAAGGCTGTGAAGCGGCTGCCCATGCAGCACGAGCATACATCACCAACATTTCTGATGAAAAGGCCCTGCTCAAACTGGACTTTAAGAATGCCTTCAACATGGTAAGAAGAGATGCAGTACTTTGTGCCGTACATCGCCATTTCCGGCCCCTCTACCCGTTCATACTATCGTGCTACAGTGGCGAGTCAAAACTGCTCTTTGGTGAACACGAAATCAGATCATGTGAAGGTGTTCAGCAAGGTGATCCTCTTGCTCCCCTTCTTTTCTGCTTAGTCTTAAAAGAAATCACCGAAAGCTTGTCCAGCGAGTTCAACATCTGGTTTTTGGATGATGGCACTATAGCTGGCACCGTAGACCACCTCTTGTCAGATATCAGGAAGATAAGGGAGCAAGAAGTAAGCCTGGGTCTCGTCCTGAACCCTTCCAAGTGTGAAGTAGTCTCCTCCAACCCAGACATCGTAGCTAGAATAAGGTCTGCCTTGCCTGGAGCCCATGTCATTAGGGCCGAGAACAGCACCCTCCTTGGAGCCCCCCTCGGGTCTAACGCCATTGAGGAGATCCTCGACAAGAAAATCGCAGACCTTAGGAGGATGGAAGACAGAATAGGTGACATCGATGCCCACGATGCTTTTTATCTCCTCACCAAATGCCTATCCCTTCCGAGGCTAACCTACTTTCTGAGGTGCGCCCCATCTTACGACAACCCAAAGCTTGACGAGTATGACCTCCTACTGAAGACCATGCTGGAAAAAGTTGTTAACCTCTCCCTCAACGAATGCCAGTGGAAACAAGCCACTCTTCCTGTCAGGCTCGGTGGCTTGGGTGTCCGCACCGCCACCCAAATTGCTGTCCCAGCCTTCCTGTCTTCCTCCTCAGCATCAGATGACCTGGTTAAGGAAATTCTACCTGACACCCTGAGTGATGTAGCGGGGATACAGGACCCCCACTACACGGAATGCGACACGAAATGGGGTGCCATGACAGACCCAGCACTCAGACCAGCCATGCCAAAAGCCAAGAAACAATCCAGTTGGGACAGCCCCATTGTAGACAAAGAAGCCACAGCTTTGCTGGAGGCAGCAACAACCCCCAGTGATCGTGCACGCCTCACAGCTGTGCAGGCTCCCCATGCAGGGGACTTCCTTCTGGCAGTCCCTATGGCTGCGACAGGCACACGTCTTGATCCGCAGGAGCTCCGTATTGCAGTCGCTCTCCGCCTTGCTGCCCCTATCCACACTGTTCACAGGTGTATTTGCGGCGAGGCAGATGCTGACGAATATGGATTGCATGGCCTGCACTGTGGAAAATCGGGTGGTTGGCACACTAGACACGACGAAGTCAACGACATCATTAAAAGAAGCCTTGCCTCTGCTCAGTGTCCAGCAGAGAGAGAGCCCCGCAACCTACTGAACCGTGACTCTGTTAGCTTTGCCGGCCGACCAGACGGAATCACACTGCGTCCGTGGAAGGGTGGCAGCAGTTAGCATGGGACTATACTTGCGTATCCACCCTGGCAACGACATACATCACCCTCTCTGCCGGCACAGCAGGAGCCGCAGCGACACAGAGAAAAACAAAAGTCAGTCAAGTACAGGCAATTAGATCAAAGGTACAACTTCGTTCCAATAGGGTCTGAGACCCTAGGCCCATGGGGTGAGAGTGCAAGAAGGTTTCTTAAGGATCTTGGTTCCAAGCTCATTGACACCACAAGAGACCCTAGAGCAGCAAGTTTTCTTTCAGCGCCTCAGTGTCGCGATCCAGAGGGGAAATGCCCGCTGCATCCTCGGTTCCTGCCCGGCGTCGGAGGAGTTCGAGGAAATCTACAGCCTCTAGGAAGCGAACTTTTTCTTGTCCTCTTAATGTTCATTTTTTGTATAAAATCAGATATGTAACTGTATAACCTTGCATAATAAAGTGTACATCATAATAAAAAAAAGGGGGGTGGTAGGAGAAGTGAACACTCTTTCGTATTCAGAGTTAAGTGGCAAGTTTTTCCCTGAGTGCTCTGTGTTCCCTTCTCTGAGGCTGTGGGTCCCTATAATTGCACCAGTGGTGGTACCCCCCTATAATTATATTATATATATATATATATATATATATATATATATATATATATATATATATATATATATATATATATATATATATATATATATATATATATATATATATATAATATATATATATATATATTGAGCGCTGGGGCGTACTGGTTGATTTCAAGTCTTGTGTAACCATGACCACTAAATGAGACTCTTGTTAGGTAAATTGCTCTGACTCACTACCGAGGGGAGAGAGTAGAGTTGACTCACCAGCAAAGGATGCGAGTACAGTTGACTCACTGCTGCAGGGGTAGTGTTGACTCACTGCCAAAGACAATGAATTAAATCTTCTAAAGCCTTCCAATATGTTTAAAGACTGTTGTCGCTGTATTTGATACTAGATTAGAACAAAATATTTTATTCATCTAACGTATTTGTGACCTGCATGATGCATAAGTGAATATCTTCCCCTTGTAGCAATAAGAAGAGCAATGGTGGTAGGGATAATAGTAGTAGCTCTTGTAGATGTAGCTCTTGACTTTAGAGGTGCAGTAGTAGTTGTAGTAGTAGTAGTAGGAGGCGATAAATGTAGTAAGTTTTGAATGTTGTAGTTATTTGAGCTAGTAATCGTCTATCCACCGTAAATTTTCAATTAGTTTCTGGTATAGTTTCTATATTTAGTTACTATTAGCTGGTGTTACGTTCTAATATATATGTTTTCTACCTGCAGAGTAGGAAGGAGGATGGGAAGAGAGCCTTGTGCTCTACTGTTCTAATGACATCTGTCCAGATATATTCAGCCCTAATGACATCTGTCCAGATATATTCAGCCCTAATGACATCTGTCCAGATATATTCAGCCCTAATGACATCTGTCCAGATATATTCAGCCCTAATGACATCTGTCCAGATATATTCAGCCCTAATGACATCTGTCCAGATATATTCAGCCCTAATGACATCTGTCCAGATATATTCAGCCCTAATGACATCTGTCCTGATATATTCAGCCCTAATGACATCTGTCCAGATATATTCAGCCCTAATGACATCTGTCCAGATATATTCAGCCCTAATGACATCTGTCCTGATATATTCAGCCCTAATGACATCTGTCCAGATATATTCAGCCCTAATGACATCTGTCCAGATATATTCAGCCCTAATGACATCTGTCCAGATATATTTATATATATATATTTTTTTTTACAACCGCACCATAAACCGGAAGGTTTCCCATTTTCTGTGCACTCTCATAAACACCACTTCTGTATCCCACCTCTCCCTCGCCTCCCTCCCCACTCTCCCTCTCCTTATCCTCTCCCCTCTCCCCACAGCCTCTCCCCCCTCCCTCTCTCCTTCCCTTCCCCCTCCCTTAAAGCACTATCAATATTACATCCCTACTTGAAAATTCTAAGTGGTGATACTGTCGCCTGCAAAAGAAATATTATTCTGAACAGAGGGGGGGTTGGGGAGTTGGGGGGGGGGGGATAGTGCCCGCCCACTAAACTTAATCATTATTCGCGTATTCGGGGAGAGAGGGGAAAAACCCAGGCCTTCAAAGGTCCAAATATGAAAATCCGCAACGAGCAAAGGTGGTGAGGCGCAGGACCTTGCTTTGGCCACCCTCCACCAGGCTAATGGGAGGCATATTGAAGCCCAGCGCACAGGCCTTCCCTTGCTCTCTCTCTCTCTCTGTCTCTTTGTTTCTCTGTGTTTCTTTGTCTGTCTGTCTCTCTGTCTCTCTGTATCTATATCTGTCTCTGTGACTGTCTCTCTCTCCTCCATTTTTTCTTTATATACTAAGATAGTCTTTCATTAGGATGTGGTGTATTGATGTTGTTAATGAATGTGCAAGCTAAGACACACACAGAGATCACACTAACGTGATGCATCAAATGAACAAATCCACAAGGGCCGTGACGAGGATTCGAACCTGCGTCCGGGAGAATCCCAGACAGACTCAGTCGATTAAGGCAGTGTCTGGGATGCTCCCGGACGCAGGTTCGAATCCTCGTCACGGCCCTTGTGGATTTGTGCAAGCTAAGAGCTGACATCCTACATCAACTCATCTGAAGCCTCGTCCTAGAAACTCATTTATTTGATGAGCTTATTATTAGTTTCCATTAGGAATAAACATTATGGCTAAAGTGCCGTCATGTTAGTTGCTGGATGAAGCTGGTTGCAGGTGTCTTCCAAAACCTTAAGTTGGCTGACTTGATTTGAAGCGTACCTGGCTGTTAGGTGAATATGTAGCAAAGGCGAGTAAGCCTTTAGGAATAAATGCTCACTACTGGAGTGAAGTTGGCGAGAATGGCGCAGCCAATGGGCGAGGCTGCTGTTGGCTGAGATACTTTAATTGTTTCGCATTTGGCAACTTCTTTGTCCGCGAAGTTAGGGAAGGGTTAAGTCTTGTAAATAGTAGTCTTTTTCTCCGGTATAGGAGGCTCTGGTGTAGTGAAGAGTTCTTGACCAGTACGGGTCAACACTAGAGACGAGCGGGACCTCTTCAAGAGAAAACTAAATAGTTTTCTTCAAGAAGTGCCGGACCAACCGAGCTGTGGTGGGTATGTAGTGGGCCGCTCCAAGTAACGGCCTGTTAGACCAAGCTCTCACAAGTCAAGTTTGGCTTTGGGAGTAGAAGAACGCCTGTAAGGGGGCCTGACAGCTGAGTGGAAAGCGCTCGGTATTTGTAGTCATAAGTTTCTGGGTTCGATCCCCGGTGGAGGCGAAAACAAATGAGCAGAGTGTCTTTCACCCTGATAAACCTGTTCACTTAGCAGTAAATAGGTACTTTATAGTTACAGTTGCTTCGGGCTGCTCCCTGGGGATGTGTAACAAAAAGGAGGCCTGGTCAAGGACTGGGCCACGGGGACGCTAAGCCCTGAAATAATTTCAAGATAACCTCAAGATAACGCCCAGAACCCCATCTAGCAGGTATCCAGCAAGAGTCTTCTTGCGTGATTTTTTTTTTACCTGTATAGAATTCAGGTCATCCAAGAGGGTGATCCAGACTCAAGACGAGAGCGAAATTGTCTTATAAAATTTACAAATCTTTGCCTCAGTCTCTCTCTCTCTCATTCCCCATTTATTGTCACTATACCTTTATGTTGCGCTGTTCCTAAGTCAAATGAGTAATTTCACCATCAGTTTCTCATTTATTTTACAGGTGAGTGGCAGCGGTCCTGTCTCAACAGAGGTAATGTACCATAGTTATTGGTTTCTCTTGATTATCTGTATATATGTATTATATATATATATATATATATATATATATATATATATATATATATATATATGTACGGTGTCCATGTAGCTATCCCAGCTTGTTTTAATATGTCGTGTTCGCTCTGGTGCTCTGCTTGTTCTGGTGTCTTTATGTGACAAGTTCACAACTGAATACATATCTTGTCTACTTTTGTTTTATACAACATGTTTACAATGATGCTTTCTCAGCTGCTGGTTCACATATGAGTGCTTCCGGGAATTTCCTTGTTCAAAATGTCTCAAATGTCCTTGTCATTGTCAGAACCTCTCAAATGTCCTTGTCATTGTCAGAACCTCTCAAATGTCCTTGTCATTGTCAGAACCTCTCAAATGTCCTTATCAAATGAACAAATCCACCTATCATTTTGTCCTTGTCAAATGTCCTTGTGACAAATGACAAATTGTTCTTGTCAATTTGTCAAATGTCCTTGACATTTTGTGTAAGTTTGTTTGCTCCTTTCCAAAGTCTGAGTACCTAGTCATTTATATATAGCATTTTTATTATATATCTTGCCATATTTTTTTGTAACTTTTGCTGGTAAATCGTTGGTTAATTGCCTCAACTTTCCTGCTAGCTCGAATATGATTGTATTTAGCCATTCAATTGTTGTCTATGTTCTCTTCTATCATCCATACTTTTTGTTCATATTTTGTCCATGCTTTCTAATTCATTGTCACGTGTCATTGTTGACCCAAGGGGTTAGCCAAAAATCGTCTAAATGCTAATTTGGCATGGAGTACATCTTGTATTTTACGAGACAATAACATAAGTTTCGTTAATAAATTACATTAATGCATTAGGTGACTTTCTCTCTAGTTCCATTTCCCGACTGCATCTCGCTTAAAAAGTCTCATGTACGTTGTATATTTTTTATATGTTGCCTCGTATTTTGAACGAGGATATTTGAATTGGCTGCATCTGTGAGTCTAACCCTCCACGTTTCGTCCTACCCTGAAAGGTCTCTCATTTCTGTCACCGCCTGGGTAATTAAAATTGTATATTATTAATTTTATCTCCAGTTTGTGAGCTGGATCAAAGGTCTTTTAAAAGTCCCCCTTGTCATTTTCTGTTGTTGTTGTGGGCGGTAGTGGGTAAGGTAAGTAGTGTGAGGGAGGGTAAGGTAAATAGTGTGAGGGAGGGTAAGGTAAATAGTGTGAGGGAGGGTAAGGTAAATAGTGTGAGGGAGGGTAAGGTAAATAGTGTGAGGGAGGGTAAGGTAAATAGTGTGAGGGAGGGTAAGGTAAATAGTGTTAGGGAGGGTAAGATAAATAGTGTGAGGGAGGGTAAGGTAAATAATGTGAGGGAGGGTAAGGTGAGTAGTGTGAGGGAGGGTAAGGTGAGTAGTGTGAGGGAGGGTAAGGTGAGTAGTGTGAGGGAGGGTAAGGTAAATAATGTGAGGGAGGGTAAGATAAATAGTGTGAGGGAGGGTAAGGTAAATAGTGTGAGGGAGGGTAAGATAAATAGTGTGAGGGAGGGTAAGGTAAATAATGTGAGGGAGGGTAAGATAAATAGTGTGAGGGAGGGTAAGGTGAGTAGTGTGAGGGAGGGTAAGGTAAATAATGTGAGGGAGGGTAAGATAAATAGTGTGAGGAGGGTAAGGTGAGTAGTGTGAGGGAGGGTAAGGTGAGTAGTGTGAGGGAGGGTAAGGTGAGTAGTGTGAGGGAGGGTAAGGTGAGTAGTGTGAGGGAGGGTAAGGTGAGTAGTGTGAGGGAGGGTAAGGTGAGTAGTGTGAGGGAGGGTAAGGTAAGTAGTGTGAGGGAGGGTAAGGTAAGTAGTGTGAGGGAGGGTAAGGTAAGTAGTGTGAGGGAGGTAAGGTAAGTAGTGTGAGGGAGGGTAAGGTAAGTAGTGTGAGGGAGGGTAAGGTAAGTAGTGTGAGGGAGGGTAAGGTAAGTAGTGTGAGGGAGGGTAAGGTAAGTAGTGTGAGGGAGGGTAAGGTGAGTAGTGTGAGGGAGGGTAAGGTGAGTAGTGTGAGGGAGGGTAAGGTGAGTAGTGTGAGGGAGGGTAAGGTGAGTAGTGTGAGGGAGGGTAAGGTGAGTAGTGTGAGGGAGGGTAAGGTGAGTAGTGTGAGGGAGGTTAAGGTGAGTAGTGTGAGGGAGGGTAAGGTAAGTAGTGTGAGGGAGGGTAAGTAGTGTGAGGGAGGGTAAGGTGAGTAGTGTGAGGGAGGGTTAAGGTGAGTAGTGTGAGGGAGGGTAAGGCGAGTAGTGTGAGGGAGGGTAAGGTGAGTAGTGTGAGGGAGGGTAGGTGAGTAGTGTGAGGGAGGGTAAGGTGAGTAGTGTGAGGGAGGGTAAGGTGAGTAGTGTGAGGGAGGGTAAGGTGAGTAGTGTGAGGGAGGGTAAGGTGAGTAGTGTGAGGGAGGGTAAGGTGAGTAGTGTGAGGGAGGGTAAGGTGAGTAGTGTGAGGGAGGGTAAGGTGAGTAGTGTGAGGGAGGGTAAGGTAAGTAGTGTGAGGGAGGTTAAGGTAAATAGTGTGAGGGAGGGTAAGGTAAGTAGTGTGAGGGAGGTTAAGGTAAATAGTGTGAGGGAGGTTAAGGTAAATAGTGTGAGGGAGGGTAAGGTAAGTAGTGTGAGGGAGGGTAAGGTAAGTAGTGTGAGGGAGGGTAAGGTAAGTAGTGTGAGGGAGGGTAAGGTAAGTAGTGTGAGGGAGCATAAGGTAAGTAGTGTGAGGGAGGGTATATGGAATAAGGTAATCGTGCATTCATAAGAGGGTGTGTGCGAGTTTGTGTATTTTTTGTACTGTTTGTAACATTTTAATACTCGAGGAGGAACTCAAAAATGCACTCAAACTCAATTGCAGTTTGGAGTTGACGCGGTAAGTAACTGTAGAGAAATGAAAACAAATAATTTGCCAGTTGATGATGAAACTTTACAACCTGTTCTTGAAAGATTAGAGATCATAGATGTTGGG